CGAAAATATTACAAAAAAAGTATTCGATAATCGCTAGTTCATTCGTTTACCGCTATGCGGCGCATGTTGCGCTATCTATTCCGCATTTAATTTTTAGTCACGATGATTATATAAAGTTTACAAAGAGCGGCTAGTAAGATTAAAGATATAATAAATATTTTTATTAGTTTAAGTTGTGTGTATGATATGACCCCAACACAGGGAACTCAGACATTGGACTAAAAATTCTTTTAATAGTTTCCATTCTTATATAAAATAAAAAATTTGATAATAATTTTCTAATATGCAAGATACTTCAGATTTTAATAAATAAATTTTAAGATTATATAAAGACTTGAGAGATGTGAAAAAACTCGTTGTATGCGTAAATCCACCAGGATCTTTTTGCATCCGGATATCTGAATATTTCGGATACAAAGAGATTGTAAATTTACACAATTGCAAATTCAGTTTTTTCTTATTTCTCTTAGATATTCTCTGTCACTGAAGGAAATCGAATGTGCACCGAAAAATTTACACTATAATTTTGTTATTATAATACAGAAAATCTATATACACATTAGATCCTGACTCTTATAGGCCCAATTTCTTATTATTTTTTTCATATGTAAGGATATTATTGTCGATAAATATACATAAAGTATTATTGCATATATATTATATTGCTATGTTGCTGCAATATTGTATTGCAATATTTCTGTAGGCGGACATTTTATTGTTGCTGCAATATTATAACAACACTGCCGCAATATTTTGCAATGTTTCTGCAATGTTGCAATCTTGCAGAAAAATGTTGCTGCAATGTTGTTACAATCTTGCGGTGCTGTATGGGATTGTAGCACTGTGCGAAACAAGGCTAAATGAACAATTCCGTCCTAACATAAACAACTACGATATATACTCACACGATCGCAATCGTCAAGGAGGTGGTGTTGCCATCCTCTTGAGGAAAAACCTCGGATTCACTCAGATAGTTGATGAGAATATCAATCAGACATGCAAACGTAACGATATCGAGCATATCATGGAAAAGATCTGGCTCAGTACAGAGAAATCTATATTCGTCTGTTCACTCTATAGCCCTCCGCGTGGCAGTAATTGCCCGCATACGGAGCCCCAAGCATGGCTATCCTTGCTTCGGTACTGCACCAGCTTTAATCCTATCGTCATCTGCGGTGACGTTAATGGAAAAAGTGCGCTCTGGTCCCTAGGGATTTTGGGGCCGGACTCAGAGGGAAATAGGCTAGAGAACGCAATTTCGCAACTTGACCTTTCATGCCTCAATGACGGCAACTATACCTGGGCTTCGGCAGACTTTTCATCCACTTCTGCTCTTGATATTACCCTCGCATCTTCGTCTATCGCCACCAAATGTTTATGGAATGTTCTCGGGGAGAGTTATGGCAGCGACCATTTCCCTATTATAATAACTATATCAGACGATTGCCTTAATTCGTCCTTTGGCCGTCCTTCGTTTTCTACCGCCAGGGTGGACTGGGGCATGTTCCAGTGTGAGTGTTCTAGGTTTGTTGATCGGTTCCGTGGCTTCAGTGGTGATCTAAACAACGACTACAACGAATTAGTCAATGCAATCCACCTGGCGCTAACAACTGCGGGTGCAAAAAAACAGTCATCTAGAGGCCTTAGGAAAAAACCTCCCACAACATGGTGGGACGATAAATGCAACGATAGGATTCTCCAGAAAAATTGAATCTTAACCAGATTTAAAACCTCCCCTTCGTCCGAAAATTTAGAAAGATATCTAGAATACAGGAAACAATCAACCAAATTCTTCGCTAAAAAAAAGAAGTTTGCATTCCGCGAATTCTGCTCCTCCTTAAATATGAACACCCCAATAACCACCGTGTGGAGATATAGCAGAGCTTTCTCAAGTAGGAATTCAAACAATTCTCAGCATACACATATCTCAGAAGAAGCCTTCTCAGAAGCTTTTAATAAATTAGCTCCTCCAGCTCTTAACCCAGTACTCAATATCCAAGATCTATTCTCACAAATGCCTAATATCGGGGTCAATATCAATAAGGAATTTCTTCTTACTCCATTTTCTGTGCAGGAGTATAAAGAAGCTATCTCCACTTTAAAAATTAGATCTTCTCCAGGCCCGGACCTAATCTCCAATAAAATAATTAAAAAATTCCCAGATGATTTACACCATTTCATATTGAAAATATTTAACCTAATCTTTAATAGAAGTACATATCCCCTTCAATGGTCGGAATATTTCGTTGTTTTCATTCCTAAACCAGGCCGTAGAGATTCACTTAGACCAATCTCACTTGCAAATAACCTACAAAAAATATTTGAAAAGTTGATTCACAGAAGAATTGAATGGTGGGCGGAAAATAGCTTACTCCTCCATAACACACAGTTCGGCTTTAGAAAGGGCCTATCCTGCATGGATAGCATCGCCATCCTAACTACAAGCATTCAAACATCTAATAAGGCAAAACATTTCACAGGTGTCGCGTTCTTGGACATAGTTGAAGCATTCGATAGGGTCCGCCCAGAGATACTATTGATCCTTCTGGAAAAATACGGGCTTCCCCCGAAAATATTAAAATTTATTAACATCTTGGTTTCCCGCAGACATCTTATAGGCTTTGCTGCAGGTGTTAATCTGCAAAATCGCACCACTCATATTGGCCTTCCCCAAGGATCCATCTTGAGTCCCATACTATTCAACTTAAGCCCGAATCACACTAAAGCCCGTATCAGACTACGCATTGAAAATTGAAGATTGAAGATTAAAGATTGGAATTTGACTAATCAAAACAAAAGGGACTAAAATTTCTTTATTCTGATTGGTCAAATTTCAATCTTGAATCTTGAATCACAATCTTCAATGCGTAGTCTGATACGGACTTAACGGCTCGCGGCTGCGATTGCGATTGCGTTTGTGATTGTGATTTGCTA